GTGTTTCTGTGTCTGTGTATGTGTGTCTGTGCCTGTGTTTCTGTGTATGTGTGTATGTTTGTCTGTGTCTGTGTTTCTGTGTGTGTATGTCTGTGTGTGTGCTTCCGTGTGTGTCTGTGTGTGTGTTTGTGTGTGTGACTATCTGTGCGTTTGTCTGTGCATGTGTTTCTGTCTGTGTTTCTGTCTGTATGTGTCTGTGTATGTATCTGTCTGTGTGTGTGTTTACGTGTGCGTGTCTGTGCATGTGTTTCTGTTTGTGTGCCTGTGTGTGTGTTTCCGTGTGTGTGCCTGTGTGCGTGTTTCTGTGTATGTCTCTGTGCCTGTGTTTCTGTGTGTGTGTCTGTGCGTGTGTTTCTGTGTGTGTGTGTACGTATGTATGAATGTCAGTGTTTCTGTGTGTGTGTCTGTGCGTGTGTTTCTGTGATGTCAAGGGGCAGAACCCATCGATGATGGTCCAGTTTCCTCACCAGCTGCTGTCTGGCCCTCCTGCGGCAGCTCTCAGGCTGTTTGTCACCTGAAATCTTCCTGAAACCTGACTTTAACTGAAGGGAGCGGCGCTTCTTACAAAATATCCTGCACCCATCCGTCAAGCCCCGACACGTATAACTTGCTGACAGAGATTTGAAAATGTCAATAATATAAGATAATTTGAGCAACAGAGATGCTAATCATTCAATAAAGTGTGGTGATATGGTCATGGATTCCATCGTGATTCTCTTAACACTTTACCTGATGATCTATACTTGGCACATGGCACAAGGGCGAAACCTTGGCCAAGTTTCCTTACTCCACACGTCTAATAATAATCCCTCCAAAACAAAACAATGATAAATTGGTCATTTTCAATCCATGACTGTTTGTGGGACATTGCTGTGCGCAATTGGCTGCCGCGTTCGTCCACAAATATACAGTCAATTCACTTTACAGTGTGTTCTGTGAAGCGCTTTGGGACGTCCTCCCGACGTGAACAGCGCTAAAACAAATGCAAGGATTATTATGATTATGAGCAAACAAGGTCTCCAGGTGATACAGGACTCACAAACTCATATACATATTCACCATCACAGCATAAAGCACTTCAGAATAAATTAGATTCGTTATCTATCTTCTATTTTAATAACCCCCCCCAAAAAAAACAATAATAAATAGGACATTTTCAATCCATGACTCTCTGTGGGACACTGCTGTGCGCAATTGGCTGCCCCGTTCGCCCACAAATATACAGTCAAATCACTTTACAGTATATTCTGTGAAGCGCTTTGGGACGTCTAGTAGAACTGAACAGTGCTATATCAAATGCAAGGATCATTATTATTATTATATTTTGATCTTTATTGTGTTAGTTCTATTTGCAATGTTTTATTTTCTATTCCCTCCTGTGAGTTCCCTCTTGCTGGACAGGCAAACGGCAGCTCCCAGGCTGATTATGGTCTGAAACACTCCAGAAATGTGACACTCACCACAGGGAGCGGCGATTCTCAGAAATACGTATCCAACCAGTCTGACAAGTTCCTGTGCTTCGTTTACTGACAGAGCTGTTCGGGTTTACCGCAAGTCAAAATCAGTGAAATCAGAAATCCATTTTTTAGGTTTTTTTTCTACCTCTACCTTTGGAACCTCGTCTCACTGTACTGTCACCTTGTTCCCTCCGTTGCCTGTTGCTAGTGATATCTTAAGACCCTACTGTTCGAATTTCGGTGACCATCCTACGAGCGGGTTACACGTTGAGGTCGGAGGGTATTTTGGGGTGGGGGAGGAGCGGTGAGGGGATGGCACGAGCTGGAATAAGAACGGGCCGAGTTTGCGTAAGAGCAGAATGGTTCTATTTGATTAAGAGTGGGGGAGTGAGACTTGTTGAGGTAAGACTGAAGGAGTTGGAATAGTTGGGGTAAGAGTGGGGTTTTGGGACTAGTTGAGTTAAAAGTGGGGAGTAGGAGTTGTTCGGGTAATCTGGGGGGAGTGGGACTATCTGGTATAAGAGCAGAGGAATGGGGCTTGCTGGCAGCTCTTTCAAAGAAATGATTCAGCGACGATGCTGCGAATGGTCTCCTTTTGTGCTGTAATCAACTACGATGCTCGGGTGATTCTATGACTAAAGCTGTAACCTGTAGCCCTGAGTATTGGGACGGTTCTCACTGCGCAATCACACAGAAACTGTCACGACAGTGTGGCTATAATGGTCACTTTTGCTGCAGAATCAGAGTAAAACTAAAACAACCTGTTATTTGTGTTAAGTAACCCAGAGTGCAAGTTATTGTTGTTGCTCCACCACGTCCTCGAGAGTTTGACACAGTGGCACTTATCTGTTAAGGTAACCGAACGTCAGTTGGTGAAGGAGAGGGGATTGTCTCACTGTTCCTGGGCTGTGGAGGAAGAATCAGTTTGGGCTCCAGCCCCATTCACTCTCTCTAGGCAGTGGCTGACGTATGGGCCATACAGTCAATGCCCTTTACAGTATATTCTGTGAAGTGTTTGGAAACGTCTTGTACATGCGATGAGGCGCTATATCAAATGCCAGTATTATGATAACTGTACGTTCAAGCTCTGCTTTTCTGTGTCAGTATCTTACCATCTGATGTACGAACTGTGATATAATTTTCACATTCAGAAACCCAGCACAATGCTTAAGTCTGCAAAATAAATTGAGAATTTCTTGCATCCTTACACATTGAAATTCCGGTGGGAGATTGTTGGAATGGAAGGTTCACTCTCTGTCTCCTGCTGGAGTGACGCATCCTGCTAGACATATTCCGGAGAGTAATAGGCAGAGAATGGCAAGAGCCAAGGTTTGGGGACCCCAGAGCTTGCGATATGGAAACTACTGGAGTCCAAGTAACTGAAACCCCATAGCTTGCGATTGGCATTGCTGCCCGCAAGCTTTTCTATTTCTTTTCCAGTTCAGACCAGCTAACCAGTTAGGACTTAGTTTTACAGGATTAATAGGAGTTGAGTTAGAGGATTTCTGCCCCAGTGGCTGATTTGCGCTTCAAGGTCCTGCCCATGAGACAGACTAGGTTGTGTTGTTGTCAGCAGTGCCCTGGAGGACTACAGACCAGCCGGGCTCAGGAACCAGACAAGAGACCTTCACAGAGGGCTGGCTGTCTCGATTACGACATTCTGATGCCAAGCATGTCCACCTTGGTGTCAGTTCAGCCTTGCGGACAACCCGCCTACTCAATCCCCCCACTCCCACCCCCACGGAGGATGCTTGAATGAGTCACCCCAAATCTCCAGTCTCCTCCGTGTGGAACGGAAGACCAACATCAGAGATCACATTGAGAAACGTTTTAATGATTATCAGATGGAGAAATGAAAGAGTACAATTTTGAGCAGATATTTGTTGATCAGTGAGGAGTTTGATGTGCTGAGCTGCTCCCCAGGTTGACATTTTCCCCATTGCCTGGAAATCACCAGCTCCTTCAACAAGTTATCTCCTAGCCACCAATTAGGAGGCACTTAATGTTATTAATGTGACCACGGCTGGTTATATGAATGTTTGTGAGAGACGCTCATACCAGTGTGAGAGGCAGTGCAGCTCATGAGATACATTCCATCTGAAGAATGCCTGACATTTGCCTATGAACATAGGGAGCGGCGCTTCATGGAAAAACAAATGAAACCGGTCGGACCAGTCACTGCCTCTTTGCTTCACTTACAGTAACTTAAATGCTTGTCAAAATCTCCAGGTTGAGGGAAAATCAGCGTTTTACTCAAAATACAATGAGATGTCCGCAGAGGTAGCATGCTTGTATCTGTTAACGGATGGTGTGTACCTGTACCGGCCTGAACTGTGAGCTGATGTGCAATTAGTCTGAGGAAAAAAGATGAATTATAAAATGATATTGAAGGGAAATCTATTGCAACATGTGTATTGTCACTTGCGCTACTGATCATCCCTCTATGTTTAGCTTCTCATAAACCGCACCATCTAATCTTGTTGCTCTTTCTGTTTCCCCGTAAAGAACACATTCTAATCTGGTTCTAACTATTCTTTCCCATAAGCAGACTCATCCCATCATCACACATAGAATTATGGAATTATTCAGCACCAAGCGAGGCCCCCATCGTGTCTTCGCTGGTTTTTGAACAGAGCTATCTGAATCAATCCCATTCCCCTGCTCTCTCCCCATTGCCCTGATCCACACCCAATCCCCCGCTATCTCCACATAGCCCTGACCAATCCAATCGTGCCCCCCCACCGTAGCCCTGAAATCTTGTCCTCCAGAAATAATTATCTTCTTCTCTCTTAAAAGTTGTTAGCAAATCGGCTTCCACCAACCGTTCAGGCAAGCATTGCACATTCGATCAACCGCTGCGTGAAAAAAAAATACCTCTCACTTCCCCTCTGTTTCTTTTAAAAACTACGTTAAATGGTGTTCTCGAGTTACTGACCTAACTGCCAATGTAAATAGTCACTCCTTGTCCAATCTATCGAATTCCCTCATAATTTTTAAAACATCTATTAAGTCTGCTCTTAACCTTCGCTGCTCCAAGGAGTATATTCCTAGCTTCTCTAGCCTCTCATGATATGAAGTCTCTCATTCCTTCTACCATGGTGGTACATCTCATTTGCATCATCTTTAATGCTTTGAACTCCTTCCTAAATTGTGGTGCCAATAACTGATCAGAGGACTCCAGCTGAGTCCTAATCACTGTGCCATGAAGCTTGATCATTACAACTCTTGAATAATTGTTGCTCAGTTTATTCCTCTAACGCTTGTCACTCTGCTCTGTTCAGGCCGTTTTCATGTGTCATGACAAACCGAACTGATGCAGCACATCCCCCAGCAGTGCATTGGAAGATCAGCTGAGACTGTGTGATTGCAAGGCCATTGCCAGTGTGACTATGCTGTGGACAGACTTTGGTTCTGGCTGTGGGCGACTCCTCTCTATAATTTCAGGCACAATTGTTTCTTACACAATAATGATTATGCCACAAACCTGAGGAACCGGTTTGGGAGGTAACTGAGTCTGAGCCACGTCCACACAAACACTAAGACGGTAAATAGCTTGGACACGGAACTGCGAGGGCTGAACATGGCTTCTAATCTCCAGGTTCAGAGACTGAACGAGGAGTTAAACTGTCCCATTTGTCTGGATTTCTACAATGATCCTGTTAGCCTGGAGTGTGGCCACAACTTCTGTCGCTCCTGTATCACCCGGAGCTGGGAAACGCAGGGGGAAAACATATGTCCAGAATGTCGGAAGGTGTTTGCCAACAGGAATCTCAGGCCCAGTTATGCCCTGGGAAATCTGGCACAGAAAGCTCAGAAATTTAGCCTGTCACCAACACAGACGGGAATTAAACATCACTGTGAGAAACACCAGGAGAAACTGAAGCTGTTCTGTGAAACTGACAACAAATTAATCTGTTCCATTTGCAGAGATGCGCGAGAACACAGAAATCACAGCTTCCTGCCCATTGAGGAAGCTGTTGAAATCTACAAGGTAACAATGCACCTCTCGAGGGAATAATTTTATCACTTGATGATTTCCCGTACAAACAATTTTATTCGGTGTGTTTTTTCCAGGATCAAGTGAAAGCCTCCTTAGGTCCTCTCGCACAGAGGAAGGAAACTGCTCTACACGCTGAAGCCATCCAGAAGCAAAATATTTCACAACTTAAGGTAAGTTGGGTCGGGGCGGATTTCTGCGCTGGCAGTGTGTCTCTGTTTAATGTATGCACACAGTGTGATGTCTCGGCGTGTATTTGTTTACCTGGTGTACATGGTGTGATGTTTCAGTGTGTCTCTTTTTACTATGTATACACGGTGTGATGTCTGACATTTTGCAGGAACAGGCGAGCAGTCTGCAGACCCAAGTCAAGGACGATTTTGCTAAAATACACCAGATCCTGACTGACAGAGAGCAGCGGGTGATGAGAGATCTCAGACAGCGAGAGGAGGAGATTTTACAACGGATGGAGACAAACCTGCGAGAGATTCAGAGCAATTTAGATTCAGTTCAACAAGAAATCTCAGAGTTACAGACACAGATGGAAAAAGACGGGCCGATCCTTTTGCAGGTAAAGCGATTACATTACATAATTGAGCTCCATATCAGTAGCACACAGTCTGGAGAAAAATATCTAGTACTGATTGATAAAGAGATAAGAGATTGAATTGCTAATTTAGTATTGTAGTGTTTGTGAGTCAGCAGAATCAGCAGGTCCGATTCTGTGTCTCTAGATATAAACTCACACAAACAACACTTTATGATGGTCGTACATCTGAACGCTCTGGCTATGGAAATCACATTAGGTGAATACATTTGCTGTAATATTGACACTAAACTCTGTGCTGTACAATTCTATTCTGTGTATCTGAGTTTACAATGTTGTGTCTTAGAAATTACCTTTGTACAGCGTCTTTCACACCCAGCGCCTTGGGACTTCCTCCTGAGATGAAACGCAATGTACATATGTAATCTGTTGTTGTTATTCTTGGCGTCTCAGTGTGAGCTCAATTCTGTCTGTGTTTGATTTCATTAGGAGGAAGCTGCTCGGAAGAGAAGGTATGAAATATTGTTTACCAAATATCACAGAATTTAATATAAAAACAAACACAATGTGTGGTTTCACTTTATAATAAAAAACAGCTGTCATCAACCTCTATCCTCATAAAACCTTCCATGGACCCATCCCTGTTCACTAACTGCCACCCCATCTCCAACCTCTCTTCCCTTTCAAGGTCCTTGAAAGAGTTATTGCTTCCCAGCTTCACTCCGTCCACACCTGTCTCTCCCTTCATGAAACCCTCCAATCGGGTTTCCTGCCCACAGCACGAAACAGCCTTCATCAAGGTGACAAATGGCACTCTGTACATCTGTGACCAGGGCTCCCTCTGTCTTCTCCTCCTCCTGGAACTCTCTGCTCCCTTTGACACTAATTCCTCCTCCAATATCTCTCCTCTCATCTCAGCCTTCAAAGTTCTTTCCTTGATTGGTTCACATCGGATCTCTTACACCCAGTCCCATTTTGTCTCCGCAAATCTCTTCTCCTCACCGTCTCGTGTGGTGTTCCTCAATGCTCTGTCCTCGGTTCTCTCTTCTTTAACCTGTACATACCATCTCTTGGTGACATCATCCTCAGACATGGAGTCAACTTCCATATGTGCACACATGACCCCCAGATTCATCTCTCTCTGCCTCCAACATGAAACCTATGACCACTGCTGTCCTGACAGAATGTTTGTCAAATATCAAGTCCTGGATAAGTGCCAACTTTCTGCAGGTGAATATCAGCAAGACTGAAGCTCACACCAGCACCTCCCAACTCAGGCCCTGGCAGCATCAGTACAAATGGATGCATGTACCACCTCACCAATCCAGTCAGGATCCCAGGTGTCTTGTTCGATCCTCGACTTTCCTTTAACCCCCATGTCCATGCCGTGACCCGCTCTGCCTTCCCCCACCGCGGCAACATTACATGACTCCATCACTATCTTACCGCTTCATTACATCCAGACTCGACTATGTCAAAGTCATATATATATATACTGTATATAAATGTCAATGTGTATTGTATTGCTGCACTATATTCACTGTGCTTGTATCTCTGTGTGCAGGCAGGAAGAAAATAATCTGGGAGATGGTGGACTGAAGCGACTGAGTGAGGCTCTGAAGAACACGAAGTTTAGAATACAGGTTCTGGAGTGAGTAACACACTGGAGAATTTATTCACATTGGAAAAAANTCACATTGGTGCCCTACAGTGGCCATAAACACACACAACATGGCCTCTGACAGGTCACAGTCATGGTTGGTATCTTCTCTTACCACCCCACTCTCACATAGAGATCCCCTCGGTTCACCAGAGTACTCAGTGCTCACACATGAAGCCCAGATCTAAAGGCACTGAAAGGATATCCCCACAGGAGGACTGTCCTCACCATGTGGCCAGCCCTCAGGCCCTCCTCCCTGAAGCTCCAGTGTGAGAGGCCCTGGGGGCAGATAATCTCACGCTTGATACCCACCTACACACTCTCCCTTGTCAACCCACATCATTCCCAACACGGAGGAGATGGAGTCCATCATTGGGAGGAGACACTCTCCAGCCACTCGCTGATTGATCATGTTACATACACACTCACTCTCTCGGCCTGTGATGCTGACAGACTGTGTTGCGGCTCCTCACGGCCTGAACAGCCGCCCATGGCATCAGCTGGTCCCACTGCCCTGTCCTCATACCCAGGCCACTTACACTGTTATACTGGGCTCTGGATACCCGCTGCGGGGAAGGCGGGGAAACTACGCCCTGAGGACTTTCAGGGCAGCGGCAGCTATGGGGGGGGCTTTCAGTTGGGCTGTGAGGGAGAGCTCAGTCTGAGTACTCGGGGAGAACCTGCTGCAATGAGATCAGGACACAGGAAGCCTGTGGGCTAGTGACGTAGGCTGGAGAAGACTTGGCTGTGAGTGCGGGGAGTGAGTGCTGTGGTGCCTGAGCTGGTGGAACGAGAATAGGAGAGAAGCCGAGAGGGGGCAGGAGCCAACCCATGGACACTGGGATGTGTGCATGGGAGGAAGTGGTGTTTACCATCTTTACCATCCTGCTCGCTCCATCCACTCGGTGTGCACTGGGCTGCTACACGTCCCCGCCCTGCCCGCTCCACCATCAACTCTTCTGCATTCAGTCTTTCCATCACCACCCTGTGGAACTCAATCCTGGAGAACCGCTATCTCTCCTCCTCTTTTGCCTCCTTCAATGCCCATCTCAACACCTTCCCCTTTGACACTGCCTTCAGTTATCCTCCTACCCCAATCCCTTGCACTCCATCTCTGATCCCAACCCCCAGATCAGGTACAAACCCTCATTGCCTTGGTCAGGATATAATAATAGGATATAATATGCCTTGGTACGTCTTCCTGACAGGAAAGTCCCGAAAGTTGCGATTTGATTTTGTTGCCGCAGAGACTGGGGAACTCGAACCTTCCAACCCCGTCCCTGTAAAGCTCTGAGACATCACCCTGCAAGAAATTAATATAAATGTTAGATGTTTACTTTGATCTTCCACAACTTAGGAAGGATGCCTGTGTGTGTGTCTGACTGTGTGTGGGCATATGCGAGTGTGCCTGACACTGGGTCCAGCGCCTTGGAACTTGCTCCCCACGTGAAAGGCTCCTGTATATACATGTCAATGTGTTTGTGTCTCCGTGTCCAGGCTGCAGGACCATAATCTGGGAGATTGTGGAGTGAAGCAACTGTGTGAGGATCTGATGAACCTGGAGTTTAAAATACCGAATCTATGGTAAGTAACACACTGTGGACTTGGTGTCAGTAATTGGCTCTAAACACAGATTATTATATCCTGAGCAGCTGTGGACAATATTAGTTCTAAAAGTTCCTGAAAGCTACAAGGTCAGGCTCAGTGGCAGCGTTTTAACGATAAGACTCTGGGAGCAGAGATTCTTCCCACTCACTTGCTGCTGACCCTGTGGGCCACAGTATTTACAGGTTGGTGGGTGTCCTATCCAGAAACGGGGGACCTTACACAGCTTTAGCTGATTAAACTGCAGCAGCACCTATAATAATAATAATAATTGAATTTGATATAGTGTTTTTCACGTTTTCTAGACGTCTCAAAGCGCTTCACGGAAAATACTCTAAAGTCAATTGACTGCATTTTTATGGGCGAAACTCGGCAGCAAATTGTGCACAGCAAAGACCCACAAACCCAATGTATTATTGGTTTTTTTTTTAGGAATTTTTGTCAGGCTTGTGGAGTTTGATTTCAAGATCCTCATCCTCACCTACAAGGCCATTCACGGCCTCGCTCCCTCCTACCTCTCCAACCTACTATCCCCCTACCTACCTGCCCGTACCCTCCGTTCCTCTGGCTCCGGTCTGCTCCACGTCCCCCGCCCCAACCGCCCTACTATCGGTGGTCGGGCCTTCAGCCTTCAGCCTCTCAGCCCCGAGGCTCTGGAACTCCATCCCCCAGTGCCTTCGCCTTGCTTCCTCCCTTTCCTCCTTCAAGGCCGGTCTCAAAACCTTTCTCTTTGACCGTGCCTTCAGCTCCCCTCTCGACTCTCTTCCTCCTCCTCGCTCCCTCCCTTCCCTCCCCTCACCATTTCCCCCCTCCTCTCTCCCTCCCTTCCCTCCCCTCACCCTGACCATTTCCCCCCTGCTCGGGTCATGACCCAACTGTGCAGCGCCTTGGGACGTCCTCCTGACGTGAAAGGCGCTCTATAAATGGAATCTTGTTGTTGTTGTTGTTGTAAGGAAACTTGCCCAAGATTTCTCCCTGCTGGGATTTGAACTCAGGTCTCTCGCTTGTGAGACCAGGTATTAGTTGCGCATTTGCGTATTTGTTACTATTTGACTGCCATCAACACAAAATGCCAGGGAACGTTTTGCCCATTAAAAAATACATTGACGACGGCTATCACAACACAAGCAGCTTTCTCAGTGCAATATTTTGTTTTCAGTAGTTGGCAACAAATCGCTCTATATCGATCAAAATTAAGAGTCACAGTGAACCAGACTAAGGTGCCTACACTCCAACCCCCCACACCCCCCAACACACACTGTGTGGTCACTGAACCTCCAATTGCATCAACCTACACCCAATCCTGAATGTGAGTGTCTGTTCCACGTACAGCGACATTTTAACGTGAAGGTGGAAAAATATCAGCCCCGGCCCTTTCCTCCTGTCCCACACAATCCATCCCATCCACAGTCTCTTATGGTAGTCAGCGTTGTATTCACTTTAATCCCTGTTATGGCTCCGTGTCTCTCATCTCCAGGCTGTGTAATAAATAATAATACGCACTGTGTTTCCTCTGATCCCTGTTATGTTTCTTTGTCTGTGATTGTCAGGCTGAGCGACATCGATCTGACAACTGATAGCACCGATGACCTGTCCTCCGATCTCAGAATAAACCACACACTGACGGAGCTGATCCTGAGTGATAATAATCTGGGAGATAGTGGAGTGAAGCGATTGTGTGAGGCTCTGAGGAACCCGGAGTGTAAAATACAGAGTCTGTGGTAAGTAACGCACTGTGTCTCCAGAGTCTGAATGACTCCAATATCTCAATGTGTTTATTGTGACTATCTGATCAGTGCGGCTGAATATTGTGACAGGAATCGGTGTGACAGTGTGAGGCCACAAGCCATATTTTACATCAAACTCTCAATTTTTGTTAATAAGAAACCATGTGCTGGAAACCCCATCTCTAGTGACATGTGGACAGTCACAGCTCCGACCCCTAAACTGGCTCCAAGCCCCAAACCCGCTCCCATTGTATCTAATCCCGAAGCTCCGGCACTGGTCCCGTCAATCCCTCCACACACTGTGGGTTTGTAGTTCTCTACTATTGTCAACCGAGTATCTGAAACACACACAAACCTGTCCTCAGGCTTCAAACTCTCCAAACCAACCTCCTGACAGTTCCACATCTGACTGGAGACTTGTGTGTGTGGAGTGGAGGCCATTCTCTGGAGGACAGGGAAAGCTTTCGATCCGCTGGGAGACTTTTAAGATAAATTGTGGGTGAATCTAAAAGCAGTCTCACTGGGACGTCGGAGCAGTGTAGAACTGAGTGTGTTTTTTTGTGTTGATGCGCATGTTTGTGGTGTCTGTGCGTGTTTGTGTGTGTGTATGTATGTCAGTGTGTGTTATCCTGGTGTGTCTGTGTATGTTTATGTGTGCGCGTGTTTCCGGGTGTGTGTGTGTTGGCGTTTGTATGCGTGTCTCTGTGTGTGATAGAGGGAGAGAGAGAGAGAGACTGAGAAAGAGATTGAGAGATAGAGACAGATTGAGGGACAGAGGCTGAAAGTCGTAGAGAGAGAGATAGAATGTGAAAGAGATCGAGAGAGAGGGAGACAGAGGAAATATATTTTAAAGTGTAGCCCATGTGTGTTTTGTGGGGGAAAGGGATACAGAGTAACTGTGAGAGAGAGATTGGGAGAAACTGCGGGAGAGACAAAGAAAGAGACAGAGAGAGAGAGAGAAAGTGACTCAGAGACACACAGTGAAAGAGAGACTGAGGGACAGCCTAAGAGACCCGGAGAGAGCGAGACTGACAGTGTGTGTGTGAGACAGAGAGAGAGAGAAGGAGACTGAGCAAGAGAGGGAATGATTGTGAGAGAGAGAGACCTTGAGAGAGAATAAGTTATAAAGTGTAGTGACTTTGTTTTGTGGGAGAGGCAGATAACGAACCTGAGAGAGAGAGACTGTGAGACATAGTGAACGACATGGAAGTAAACTGAGGGAAAGAGATAGAAAGAGGGTGAACGAAAATATATTATCAAACGTGGTGACGGTTTTGTGGGAGAGACAGAGATAGAATCAGAGAGAGAGAGAGAGAGACTGCAATGTGTGTGTGTGTGCACATGTGTGTGTGTGTGTGTGCACATGTGTGTGTGTGTCTGACACTGGTCCCAGCGCCTTGGGACTTCCTCCCCACGTGAAAGGCTCCTGTATATACATGTCAATGTGTATTGTGTTGTTACACTATATTCCCTGTGTTTGTGTCTCTGTGTCCAGGCTGGAGGACAATAATCTGGGAGATTGTGGAGTGAAGCGACTGTGTGAGGCTCTGAGGAGCCCAGAGTGTAAAATACAGAGTCTGGGGTAAGTAACGCACTGTGTCTCCAGAGTCTGAATGACTCCAATATCTCAATGTGTTTATTGTGACTGTCCGAGCAGTGCGGCTGAATATTGTGACAGGAATCGGTGTGACAGTGTGAGGCCACAAGCCATCTTTTACATCAAACTCTCAACATGTGTTAATAAGAAACCATGCGCTGGAAACCCCATCTCTAGTGACATGAGGACAGCTCCGACCCCTAAACTGGTTCCAAGCCCCAAACCCGCTCCCATTGTATCTAATCCCGAAGCTCCGGCCCTGGTCCCGTCAATCCCTCCACACACTGTGGGTTTGTAGTTCTCTACTATTGTCAGCCGAGTGTCTGACACACACAAACCTTCAAACTCTCCAAACCAACCTCCTGACAGTTCCACATGTGACTGGAGACTTGTATGTGTGGAGTTATGGCCATTCTCTCCAGGAAAGGGGAAGCTTTTGTTCCGCTGGATGACTTTTAAGATAAATTGTGGGTGAATCTAAAAGCAGTCTCACTGGGACTTCGGAACAGTATAGATTTGAGTGTGTTTGTTTGTATTGATGCGCATGTTTGCGTCTGTGTCTGTGCGTGTTTGTGTGTGTGTATGTCAGTGTGTGTTATCCTGGTGTGTCTGTGTATGTTTATGTGTGCGCTTGTTTCCTGGTGTGTGTGTGTTGGCGTTTGTATGCGTGTCACTGTGTGTGATAGAGGGAGAGAGAGAGAGAGACTGAGAAAGAGATTGAGAGATAGAGATAGATTGAGGGACAGAGGCTGAAAGTCGTAGAGAGAGAGATAGAATGTGAAAGAGATTGAGAGAGAGGGAGACAGAGGAAATATATTTTAAAGTGTAGCGCATGTGTGTTTTGTGGGGGAAAGGGATACAGAGTAACTGTGAGAGAGAGAGATTGGAAGAAACTGCGGGAGAGACAAAGAAAGAGACAGAGAGAGAGAAAGTTCTTCAGAGACACATAGTGAAAGAGAGACTGAGGGACAGCCTAAGACACCCGGAGAGAGCGAGACTGACAGTGTGTGTGTGAGACAGAGAGAGAGAGAAGGAGACTGAGCAAGAGAGGGAATGATTGTGAGAGAGAGAGACCTTGAGAGAGAATAAGTTATAAAGTGTAGTGACTTTGTTTTGTGGGAGAGGCAGATAAAGAACCTTAGAGAGAGAGACTGTGAGACATAGTGAACGACATAGAAGTAAACTGAGGGAAAGAGAGAGAGAAAGAGGGTGAAAGAAAATATATTATCAAACGTAGTGACGGTTTTGTGGGAGAGACAGAGAGGGAATCAGAGAGAGAGAGAGAGACTACGATGTGTGTGTGTGCACGTGTGTGTGTTTCTGACACTGGTCCCAGCGCCTTGGGACTTGCTCCCCACGTGAAAGGCTCCTGTATATGTGTATTGTGTTGTTACACTATTTTCCCTGTGTTTGTGTCTCTGTGTCCAGGTTGGGGGGCAATAATCTGGGAGATTGTGGAGTGAAGCGACTGTGTGAGGCTCTGAGGAACCCGCAGTGTAAAATACAGAGTCTGTGGTAAGTAACGCACTGTGTCTCCAGAGTCTGAATGACTCCAATATCTCAATGTGTTTATTGTGACTGTCTGATCAGTGCGGCTGAATATTGTGACAGGAATCGGTGTGACAGTGTGAGGCCACAAGCCATCGTTTACATCAAACTCTCAACATGTGTTAATAAGAAACCATGTGCTGGAAACCCCATCTCTAGTGACATGTGGACAGTCACAGCTCCGACCCCTAAACTGGCTCCAAGCCCCAAACCCGCTCCCATTGTATCTAATCCCGAAGCTCCTGCCCTGGTCCCGTCAATCCCTCCACACATTGTGGGTTTGTAGTTCTCTACTATTGTCAGCCGTGTGTCTGACACACACACAAACCTGTCCTCAGGCTTCAAACTCTCCAAACCAACCCCTGATAGTTCCACATCTGACTGGAGATTTATGTGTGTGGAATGGAGGCCATTCTCTCCAGGAAAGGGGAAGCTTTTGATCCACTGGGGGACTTTCAAGACAAATTGTGGGTGAATCTAGAAGCAGCCTCACTGGGAGCTCGGAGCACACTGAATAGTGTGTGTTTGTGCATTTGTGTTTAATCATGAGTGTGTTTCTGTATGTGTGTATGTGTGTCTGCGTGTGCCTTGTTTTAGTGTGGGCCTGCGTGTGTATCTGTGTTTATCTGTGTGTGTGTGTGCCATTGTGTGTTGGTGTTTGTTTGTGTGTGTCTGTGTGTATTTCTCGGTGCTTTTTTCTGTGTGTATTTTTGTGAGTTTGTATGTGTGTTTCTGTGTGTGATGTATTTGTATGTGAAATTGTGCGTGTTGTGTGCCCAAGTGTTCTGTGTGCATGAATGTTCGTGCGTGTGTGTCTGTGTGTTTCTATGTTTGAGTATATGTATGCATGTGTGTGTGCGATAATGTATGTGTATGTATTTTTATGTGTGTGTGAGCTTACTTGTTCCTATGTGTGTGTATGTTTGAGTTTGTATGTACATGGGTCTGTTTCGGTTATATGTTTATGCGTGTGTATGTGTGTGTTTGTATGCGCGCATTTCTTCAACCTGTCCGGCTCAGACATGCATGATGTTGGGACTTCCTCCCTAATCCTGAGATCTTTAACACACTCGGATCAATGATTCCATCCATATTCCCTACTGGCTTTAGCTCTCGGATGGAAAACAAATTGTGGAAAAATCATATTCTGAGGTAGTTTTTTGTTGGTTTTTTACAGTCAAATTATTTATGCAAAACCCTTCCCCAGAATAAAGTCTACACAGCTTTAGCCCTGAGTTAGCCTGTGTCTGCTCACACACTGCAGTCTGAGCCCTGTAGCTCAGTGGTTAGAGCCCTCGCCTCGCTAGCGAGAGGGCCTGGGGGTGATTCCTGGCAGAGCAAAACCTTAAGGATGTTTCCTTACTCCACTTGTGTCTGTTTGTCTCGCAGTCAGTCACAATCCGGTTGTTAGACGAATTGCAGATCGCGTGTCCAGGGTTAATAATCCCTTCAAATAAATATTTCGTGAGAGATTGAGGGGGACTGAGAGAGAGAGACGGAAAGAGAGATAGAGAGACAGAAAGAGAGATTGAGAGAGAAGCGGGACTGAGTGAGAGAAAGACAGAGTGATAGCTTGAGAAATAGACACAGAGGGAGAGAGAGAGAGACTGAGAGAGACTAGGGGAGAAGAAATGTAACGTGTAGTGACTCTTATTTGAGAGGGACTAAGAAACAAAGACAGAAAGAGAGAATGAGAGATAGATAGTGAAGAGAAATTGGGTGAGAGAAATATAGAGCGAGAGATCAAGACAGAGACTGATAGAGAGTGAAACATAGGGAGCTAGACTGGGAGAGCGAGACAGAGTTGGAGAAAGAAAGAGGGAGA